TGTCTTTGGATGTGTGACTTGCTTGTGAATTTGCAGCCTCTGTCGTCTGAGGCCTGCAGGTTCTGATTAGGGTCCAAGATAGTTTAGCATGCATTCAAACCAGGCTGCAGTGTTGATGAGTAAAGTAGAGAATAATCTAATCAGACAGTGATCATTTCAGATTTAAATAGAGATGCAGACTGGGGGGGGAGGGGCTCATTTTCATACAGTTTCAGACTCCTGGCTTGGCTGAGGCGTGGAGGGCTGCCATGCCATAGAGGCAGATTCACTTTCCCCTTAATCAGTGTCAAAACTCTTTGCTTGCACACGAAAAATGAAACGTCCTAATGAGCACTGACTGATCGCAGTATGGCTGAATGAATCCTTGTTTATCGGGGGTATGGAGGTCTGCTGAAGCACACTGAGTCTATGCTGTGCTGTCTGCTTGGAGCCAGAACACCACAGCATGAAGTATGGATGAGGTAGAAATCTGGTGTGAGCTAATTAATCGGTCATGGTTACAGTGGCTTCATTTTCTAGGCTTTAGTTTTGTTTCCTCATCGCTGAACACGATTGTAGGCGTGAGCATATTTACATGAAAAAAAACAAACAACTGTCAGCTACTGCGTCAGATCTATATGGACCCTTTACTGCAGATGGTTGAACTAATGGAAACAGACAGCAGGTCAGCTACAGTAGAACCGTGAAAAAAACTTCAGTTCCACTTGCCCTCCAACCTTTGTCTGTTTTAACTCTTATTTCAGCCTCCTCTGTTTCTAATTTGCTACACAGCTTAGTCATTCTTACACTTTGGAGAGTTACAAAAAACAACTCCTTCTGGAGAGATCTGCAGAGAAACCCCAGGTATCTTCCTAAGATAGAAACAGCAGCTGGAGTTTCAGTTTTCTCCTGACAATAGACAGCATGGAACAGGCGCACACGACTGAAGCTCTCAAATATTTACCACTGAAGGATCGCCCAAACAAAAAAAAAGGGTCACTGGATGAGGTGAATTAATAATAAACCCAAACATCTCTGTTAACTGTAGCTGGTTGCTATGACAGCAGGTTGCCCGGGGAGATAGCAGGGTTTATAGGTAGTTGTTTAGGTGATTAATCACCACGGCAATGGCTGTTTGTGTTTGTGTTACTATGCACTTTTAACGTGGCTGGGCACGTGTCCAGTTCAACAACTGAAGTAAATTAGAGACTGCTCAGAATTTTGTCTGTTATGGTTTTTCAAGGGTAACAACTTTTTGACATGAGCATGTAGTGATAAGAGAGGTCTAAATGTCCTTTTACTGGAAGAACACACATCAGGGCTCTGGGTCCAGACTCCTGGAGCTGAACTTTACAGCTTTAAATATAAAGCATGATAAAAGAGACAGTCCAATATACAGTCTACAGGTGAATATGTGATGTGTGTGTGGAGTTGTTCAAGTACTGAGTCACACTGGGAGACTAAATCCAAACAGTAAAAGTTTTTCTCATTGTTTATCTTTCAGGAATACCATCTCCATGCTGTGTCCTCCATCTGCCATGTTGAATTGATCACACATGGCTCTGTGTACACTACTGTCTGTTCTCTTTTCCAGCTTTAGAAGCTGTAGAAACTAGCTGCTGATGATGGATCACAGCTAAATACAGTAACATAGTTGACATTTCTGGTAGATGAATGTGCTGCAATGTGACAAGTAGTATCCAATATTAAAGCTCCTTTATTTTATCCTACATTTCAGGAAGAAATCCAGCCGTAACATCACATATGACGAGTTCAAGGTTGCACTGGGAGAGCTGGCCAGGAAGAAATACAAAGAAAAGACAGGAGAGGAGGCTGAGGCCGAAGTCTTCAAGCTGATTGAGGGGAAGGCACCCGTCATTGCTGGAGTCACGGTAAAAAGCCTGAATATCACCGACTTAATTCACCAATACACCCCAGCAGCCTATTTCCTCTGATGTTGTGAAACTTATATCAGTGTGTACTGCTGTGTTCCAGGTTGAATGGTTGAATAAATGAAGGGTATCTTGCAATCGTTATTGATTCTCTCATTCTCCAACATTGAGCAACTTAGTAGACAATGGAATCTGAAAATTAGGAGTGAGTTCAGGTCACGTGTCAAGTAAAAAAACCTATTTGATGACCCTATAAGGTAACATTAGACAACAGCTGAGGTTAGCACATAATTACCTTATCAGCTAAAATAACATCAGCAAGGAAATTAGGCCGTTCCTATGGACCAATGTGGGGTAGACGTCACAATTACTATACAGCAGTTGCAAGTGTAGAAAAACGTGGAGAAGCAGGCCATTTCCCTGATATAAGGGGAAAATGTCAATGGACAAGAAGAAACAGAACCTCTGTTTCAATAGAACACCATTGTTGAAATCGCCCCCTGGAAGAAAGATGCAGACGTCTTTACATCTTGTATTGCTGCGTTTTATGGCTTTGTTGTAGGTATTTTTTTTAAACACGTCTGGTACACCCAAACTGTTGGACATTTTTTCAAAACATAGAGCTTACTTGCGACATCCTGGTAGGTCTTTAAACCGGCTTCATAGAGCTGAGGAAAGTGGGACATTGTTTTGTTGTGATCTGAACTTACCTCCTTCTAGACGCGCCAAGTTCTTCTTTACTTCAGTGCAGCGCGCACAGATGGCGAGCTTGCACTGCACTCAGCTCGGCGCAGATACGCTCTCATGCCGCAAAACACATAGACAATGAAAGTGAGCAGCACTCACTGCATCCTATCTGAAAGGCTCTGAAAAGTCTTTTGGCTTCACTTGTCGGGGAGCTCTTGTGCTGTCCATTCTTCATGGTTATTATGACATAAAGTATGTTGTTTTCACTTACAATATTACCTGAATTTGCTGCAGATTTTCACTGTTCATTGTCTTTTTAGCTGCGAATGAATGGAGAAATGGTTAAACCTTAAAGTATTGTCCCCTTACCTAACTTTATACCTCTTACAACTTGAGTCACAGCACTATAACATGAAAACAGCTTTTATACCTACCACCCTGAATGTTACCTTTGACTAAAAATGGTATTTAAGCAAATATATTCACTCACTGGAAATCACAGAAAATAAAACTCAAATATTTTTGAAACTTCCTCACAGAGAGCCGTGGCTTCCCCAACCGTGAGCCGTCTCACGGACACCAGCAAGTTTACAGGGTCGCACAAGGAGCGTTTTGACCCCACCGGGCGCGGGAAGGGTAAGGCGGGAAGAGAAGACATAGTTGACACTTCAGGATATGTCTCGGGATACAAACATCGAGGGTCCTATGAAAAGAAAGTGAATAAACCCACAGAGGGCAAACCCATGTGAGGCCAAGGGATGAGGAATAAACATTTGATCAACTTCTAGGGTCATTTTCTATTAAATGAGTCCTCAAAGAAAGCACAAAATAATAGGATTTCATATATTTTCCCACCCATTTATTTTTATTTTATGTGTGTGTGTGTGTGTGTGTCCGAGAGAGAGTTTTTTAAGTTCCTCTCTTTGTGAAGTGTGAGAACTGGAAAACTGTTTACATCTATTTTTACAAAGTCATCACCAGCTGGTACATTCCTGTCTCATTTCTAAGTTACTGCCAAACACTGAAGAGAACAAACGAGAGAAACTGCTATGCTATGAATAATGAAGCGTTGTTATTATGATAGGGCCTTAGAATATTTATTGAGCACAATTGAGACCACATGCCAAGAAAAAACAAAAGCGTGACGACAGTTTGATGAATTACAACATCGCACTTTTAAATGGAAATGTTTCTATTCCCGTATTCAGCTAATAAGATGCATTTTAATTTGATTTGCAGTTTCAGTAATTGGCATGCATTTTTTTTAACATATAATGGATGACTAATTCTTTTAAAAAGCTTTAACTGGTCATTTCATCTTTAGTGTAAATTGTTTTTTTGCCATCCCAAACTGTTAAGTTTTCCTAAAATCTACTGTTTATTTGTTATTATTGTACAAACTCAGTCATTTCAGTAATATGCCTTCAACACAGTCCAAGAAAAATGAAGTGTTTTGTCCATTTTTTAAAAGTTTTTTTAAAAAAACAATGTAGTTCACTGTTAAGACTGAACATGTTTGACCTTTGCCATTTCCCCTTCCTTCTGTGAACATGTTGAACAGACAAAAAGCAAACGCCCTTCTGTGTAAACCATTTAAATAGGTCCACTTTAACACAAGTAGAAAAAAAAGAAGAAAAAAAAAGAAACAGGAATTCCTAATTTTCTCCGTGGCTGTTGTTGTCCATGTCCCATTTTATGTCTACCCACATACCATTTTGCTAACATGCATTTAAAATTTGAAATTGGTGAATTCAGCTGAAGAAGGAAGCTCTGACCAGGGGAGATGAGCTCAGTTGTACAAGATTGTATTTTTAACATTTTACTTATATTTCCTCATCAGATTTCTATACTGTAGTTCTAATATATTTGTGGTAAGATTGTGTATATTCTAAAAAGAAAAAAAAAATAGCCACATGGCTTAATTTATCACACTGGCCTCGTATTTTTTTTTTTGGTATTGCTGTACTTTGTGCATGTTCTGTATATTGCATTTGATTCAGAAGCGTAAAGATGACAGTAGGCATTCGTCATTTCTGATATGCTGATATACTGCTGTGAGGACAGACTACTGGACACACTTCAATGTTGTCTTGCTAAAAAAAGAAACCCCAAACTGTTCAATCATGATGAAATCTTGTATTGCTTGAAATGAATATATATCGACCTGTACATGTTCAAAGTCAGCTTCACATATTAATGCGTATTTGCTTTCTTTCGGTGAAGACTTGGAGTATTAGTGGTATGTCATCCAAGGCACAAATTCAACTTCAAACTAAAGCAGGTTTTTACTGTTGTATTCTTCATTACTGTGAGAAAAAGGGAACATTTGCAAACAATTAAAAATCCTTTTGTAGAATATTTTTCCAACATAGTGACAGTGTTTGTCACACACTACCTGTAGCCTCAGCTGATGAAGAATCGTGCATCAAAAAGCAGCTATTCGTGTTTTTTTTTCCCCGTCTGCTGCAGTGGTTCGAGTATGACCTGTTTTCTGTGCTTAATGCCAAATACTGTGCACCTTTCATGTGGAGGAACAATAATGACTTATTTTGTTTTTAAATAACCTTTAATGTAATATTGTGCCCCAGTGCATGCAGTGTTTTGTTCTTGTTCTTTAGACCTCTTAATGTATGCTCATGATTTGTAGTGCATTATTGAAAATAAAACACACACCTAAGGACCTCTGCTGAGTAGGTCACAGGGTGTCAAGTCCAAACACAATGTTTTACATTCTCATTGTCTTTTTCAGGAATGCAGCACATTTGCGTACAAGTAAGCAGTAGCACCAACCAGTGACCTGTAACAGTCACATCAAAGTAAAAAGCCACATTGGGTTTATGTAGAAACATACATGCTCTAACCTGCTTTTTCCATGGCTTACATTAGTGTTTGTGAGAGGAAAGCATGCAGCTCTCTGGCCCTAAGGCTGAGGTATAAATAAAGTCAGTGCAGCTGGAGTCTGGATGCATTCATTCCACTACAGCGTACAAAGCAGATGGAGACACGAGTGACCTAAAAAAAAATGGGGGGAAATGGCATAGAGGTACAACCTTTTCACTGATCCAGAAAATAAATTACAACCGTCTTGCTAATATGTCCCCCAATTAACCTATTAAAATAAGAGACCTTTGACACTCCTTTACACAAACCAAAGCAACGGTTTTTCAAGATAATATTCACTGAACTATAAACACAATAGCTTGGGACATAATATGCACAAAAAAATGAAGGAAAAACAGACTGGAGCTGCTGGGCATCATGCAGCGAATGCAATGCTAATGTGAGTCAGCGTAGTTGGGCTTTGATATTTTTTTTATCCCGGTGTGCATCTCTTCATTCAAAGTCTCCTTCAAAGATCCCCACTTCTCTTCAGCTCAGCTAGCAAACATTCATTGGTAGCCACCAGGGACCTACAGTCATGCACAGAGAATAAGTAAATCAGTTGTGGGTTCATCTTTGTTGGTGTCTAAAGACAGTAGTGACGACATGCAGTTGCTGCATCTCATTACCTGTGGTTTTCTTGCAGCATGTTCGACAATTCCTTGACCGATTCTGCCTCCTGCACTTTCTGCCTCAACCCCTCGATCTCTTTCCTCAGCTCCTCCACTTCTGACTGAGCTTCTGAGGATGTGTGAACACAAGGAGTGAGAGCGTGTGAGAGAAATACAGAAAGATGCTTACTCGTGTGTCTCCCACTGGGATTTACACCCACCTTTAATCTGAGTCATAGGAGAACTTTTCATCATAGACTTGAGATATTGTCGCTCTAACTTGATGAGCTGTTTCTGCAGAGAGACATTTTCCTCCAAGACGATCCTTAGCTGCTCATTGAGTTTGCCCTGAGTCAGTCAGAGTAAAGGCAGTAAATACATGGTGCTTATCAAAGCAACCCTAAAGCTCAATGTTGTTGTTAGAACCCTCATCCACTCACGACTGCACTGCGAGCTTCCTCAAACTGAGATGAGAGGTTACGGACTTCAGTTTTGTGTTCTTCCTCTCTTGCAGCCCTTTGAAAGCTCAGCTCATCAACTTCCCGTCTTAAGGTCCTGACCTCGGCCTCTCGACTGGAAATATCGTTTTCCATCATGGAGAGGATCTGGACTGCCTGAGCTAGAGCCAAAAATAGAAATGATGAAAAGACATTCAGGCTCTTGGAATCAGATCGCACATTCCTTAAACCAAACTCACACAGGAAGTTGTTGTTTTGATGCAGCGACTTCTCCCCAGTCCAGTGTTTATCCACAAGGTTGAGAAGCATCTCTAAGGGTTTCCTGTAACTACCCTGGGACATGAATTCAGAGATTAGTTGGTTTGGGAAAAGAAATAACCTCAGATATGTTGATTACAAGTACCTAGGAAAAACAAATAATGATTCAGTTGAACTTCCCACCCTTTGTTTCTTTTCCTTCTGCTGTGGCAGGCTGCAGCCCCCTTCTGTTTTACTGAAGCTGGAGTAGGTCAGCCTTGGGGGGTGTAAGATGGGGTTGGAGGGGTCAGAAAGATTCAAACCAGGTCGACGTGGACTTGGAGGCCGGATGTTAGTAAATGAAAAGCTATGACGGCGACTCTGATCTGGAAAAAGTTGAGGACAGAACTTCAACAACTTGAAGAAAACAACATTTAGTAGTTGTTTATTTGTATCATCTTACAACATGTTTTATTATGAACAGACGTCCAGCACTTACCAGGGTTTGGGGTAAAATGTCCCCTGGCTGCACGTCTGGTTTGATTGGCGGTGTCCTTTTGCTTTTGTTTATCAGGTGCAGGGTTGTGTCTCTCAACATACGGGCCGAAGGACACCTTCGGTCTTTCAATCACGTTTAATGAGGTGGAGCATTCTTTATGAGGCTGTTGGTTCACGTGTGACACTTTGGACTCTGTTTTATCTGGTCAACAGACAATGGCATAATAAAACAAAGACATTAAAGTTCCATCGATAGACACATTCAGTTCATAATGAAAATACAGAATACAGAAGAATGGCCTTCTGTCGCCCCCTAGTGGTGGTTTTATATAGCGTCAACAACAAAGGGCTCATCACTAGTTCAGGAAAATTATCCTCTAACCACAAAGTCCTGATTGTCTACTCTCATCACTGAATCAAAACCACATATTTTATGTGTTTAAAAAATGCCTTTGTTTGATAAATTGCTCATGGATCATTATTTCTTTGCACCGCGTAAATTCCATCATAAATTTAATATAAATGACAAAATACTGTATATCACGATTGAGATTGAAGAGTAATTTACAGAATTTCTTACTGAAACTTAAATAACTTACCATATTTTGAGGGAGGATACCTAAGGATGGATTTAGCATTTTCCTAAAAAAAAAAAAAAAATCCATAAAGTTTAACCAATTCCATGTACTGACTGTTAGATTTTTTTTAACCAAAAGTTAAATGAGTATTACCTTTATTGGAGTAGAACTTCTCCAGCCTGTAAAATCTTTAGATTCTTCCTCTCTGGGTTCTGACAGAGAAATCAGATTTAAATACATAGAAACAAACAAACAAAGACCAAATTCTACTGTTTTAGAATTGAGTATAAATGTATCTTTCAACTTTGACATCCTACCATTTGCTTTCTCGCAAAATGCAGAGAGGGCCCCAGTTTCACTCTGATCTCTCTGATCCTTCTCAACAAAATTCAAAACAATATCATCCGTGTCAGTGACGAGCGAGAGCCTCTTGGCTAAGCGGTCAACTAAAGCCAGTCTCCTGTTGCATCGTCTGGAAAACACAGACAATGTCAGCAAGTGTAACTCAAGCAAACAGCAGACTCATTTTGATAAAGGAGTAGATAGATCTAGGTTATTATGGCCATTTGTAAAGGCTGATGGGAAATGTTTTACCAAACTTTTCCAAAGGTTTATTTTCCATTTCTCATATTTGATCCAATAAGATTTCTGTGCATTTTCATTGAGTAAGACAATCAATGATGGTACCTTTGGTCAGCAGCCAGATTCAAAGCAGAGCTCTTCTGCTGAGGTAGAAGATCAGAGGAGAACTGCATTACTGCAGCTTTTCGCTCAGTGTCTCTGACTGAACAGCTATCTGGAAAGTAATGGACCATGAGTTATGCTTAAAACTGACCTAAGAATAACTAAATGTGCATTAAGTCACCATATCTTACCAAGTTTGCGCAGATTGGGCATAGCATGTACCAGATAGGGGCGGTAGTTTGGGTAACGTTTGGTCACAGGGTTAAGCCTGAGGTCAAGTTCTCTCAAAGCTGGCAGCTTAAACAGTTCCTTTACCTCCTCAAGGGAAGGAATTAAGTTAAAGTAGAGAATCAGCCTCTCCAGCAACTTTAAATGTTGAATACCCTGAAGAGGATAAAACACAGTTTGTTTTTTAAACGGGATTGAGGCACAGTTACTATCACATTATAACAACGTCAGCCTTCCACATCTTCAAATTAAGTTTTTAAAAAATTGTGTTGTGCAAGGGAGGGATGGCAAGTGTGTACTCAGAAAGAGTCCACTTTCTAAAGAGAGGTCATGAATCTGAGTGGTGAGAGTTGGGTTTGTCATTTAGTTGTCAAGTAGTACAACATCATACTATGCGTCAAGACATTTAACAATTTCTAGGTGACTTTTAAAAGACACCAAATTAGTTTCATGTCTATATTTGGGTTGAATGTGTGTGAAATGTTAATTATTAGAAACATCTTTAAAGTGAATCAATTAAATCATGCAGGCATCCTTTAAGGAGTTATAACAAGCCACACACAAAATAATAATAATAATGTGACTGTCAGGCCATTTGGAAGATCATCTAACAAACCCATATCTGTTTTACACTGAAATAAAGTGTTAAAAGTTAATAATTTTAACCTACCTGAACAGACAGGAGCGCGTTGCATGAGAGATCCAGAGACTTTAAACGGACAAAGTTATTCAGTGAATGTCCCAGGTGTCTGATCTTCTCTTCGTTGGTCCCCGGGAGGCTCAATGAGCGGACATCACCTGTTTAACAAGTTCAAAGAAAGACTGAACTGTATTTTTTGAATCTCGCAGCTGGCTCATTCTGGTTAGCTTAGCCATGGACGCTTACACTGCTTAACAAATAATAAACGCATCGGCTTGGGCCTCAGTATAAGCTAGTATTTGTTGAATTGAAGAGTTTGTATCAGCATGAGATATATATATTATTTTTTTTTTACCGAGACATGGATGATGTAATTGTAGTCTGTCCCGGATCCATTGCTCTGTTACTGTTGTCAAACACTCCGCGGCCATACTTTTCGAACTTAAGCTGCCTTCAGGTACTATCGTAAAAGTCAGGATCGTCTTCTGTTTAACCATTATGTTAGGAGATTGAACTGTAAACTCGGTATTTATTTTTGAATGTTAATTGCACAGCATTGTCTCGTCAAAAAACAACAACAAAATAACGTCTCCAGAATGATGCACGGTGTACGCATTTACAGAAGAACAAAATATTAGTGGCATTAGAAACAAAAAAAATAATTTCCTTCCGTCTGTTAGCAAGCCTACACGTCTTTCCTTCATGGTATAGTGTCAGACTTTACGAGCAACAGTGAAAGCATCTCTTTGTGGCATGCGCACTGTCCATATCCGGAACTTGTCACGTGTCCAAACAAACGCGCCTGTGTTTTGTGCTCTAAGTTTGGTTTGGGGTCTGTGTCAGGCAGTGCAGTGACTTCAGTAAACATTGGCCAGTCTTTAAGACGCATACGTCAGATATATTAGTTCCCTTAGAGGCGTTTAGTGGGGGGAAATAAATTGTGTTGCCGTTAGCAACGGTTGCGTGGAGGTGTCACCACGTAGTGTCCCTCGTACTCAGGATCAATGGCGTCCTGTGAGTGGATGACGTCCTGTACAAACATTATCTTATCTGCCACAGCACTTCACTCTTCTTACACACTCTTTAAGGTAGGTCTAATTTACAGCAGTGTGAATAAGTATTTTTGTAGCTGGCCTGATTTGAAGTCACTGTGAGGAGTTTTTGCTGTTATGAAACATTGATACTGACTGATGGCTCTAACTTGACCATCAGCAACATGATTAAATATTTTCACGTTGTTATTTTTAACGCCTTAAACCACTGCAAGAGGGTAGGTGTGAGAAAAGACAATTTACAGAAGATGGGAAAAAAAACACCACACTTACGCATACAGGACATGATGTGCAAAGAGATAAAGGTACCCAGATAAATACCTGCAACTATTTTGATTACTGAAGAAGTCATTTTCAGGCACAAATTCCAAACATGCTACTCCTTTTTTTATTTTATTTTTTTATTAGAGATAGCTTTGCAGTGTTGTTTCGTTTGTTTTTCCAGCCATGTCTTCTTTAAGTAAAGTTAATTTGATAACTCTGAATATTGTTCTGTTGGTTGGAAAAGATTAAAAAAGTTCCAGTGTGTCGCTCTTGATTCAGGGAAATCGTGATGGGCACGACAACTTTTTGTTGTTGAGAAAACAGCTTGTATCTACCATGATCACTGATATTTAAAATAACTCATTATAGTTGTATTAGCATGTTTCTTAAGCTTATTTCACTGATTGGTTTACGTTTTATATTAGTGCATTTGATATATTGAAGATAATTTTCCTTTTACATATCAAATACTTTTGTTTTTTAGATGTACCAAAGCAGACTTTTCCTTAGTTGGGAATGAGATAATTAATACATTAATGTATAAAATGTCTCCCTTTGTCATTTTCTTCTTCCTCCGCATCCACATTTCTCTGCAGGATCACAGGGCTCCATCAGTCGGCCTCTTCCTTCTTGGACTCTCTGCAGCACTTTGCCTCTTGCATCCCTCCAGCTCATACCTCACGTCTATCCAGAGGGAAGCACAGTGGGCCAGTGAAGTTCTGGCTCCAGCTCTGGTTTCCTTTGACTTCCTGTGGCTCAGTGAAGATCACAACACAGCACATATTCTCCTGTGTGGCTCCTGCATTCTGCTGGGACTGTGTGACTGGCTGTCGGTCGAAGCTCTCACTTTGATGACACGTTGCCTGGGCCTGTCCTCCCTGTCCTGCTGCCTGACTGTGTGTCTGTTTGCGGGTAATGCTTTAGGAGCCCTGGGTGGTGTTGCCCTCAGCCTCCCATTGCTGGTAGCTCCACCAGGTGGAGAAAACACTTTTTTGCCACTAATTTATCCAGGAGCCACCGAAGGACTCATAAAGTGTATTTTGAAAGGATTCATGTCTGTTGGTTGTTGGGCCTCCACAAAGGCCCTTCACCTTTTTCTGTTGGATGTCACAGGCATTCACTAACATAAAGATGTATTGAGGCACTAAGTGGACCTATGCAAATCATAAAGTGCCAACTTAAAAGCCTTTGCAAGGAGATTTTTGGTAAAGATTTGAGTGGGCTGAGTTAACTTTATTGTCGTTACAACAAACTAAGTTAAGCTTTGACCTCCTCATAATTCAACTGACAGAATAAGACTCAACACTACAAAAGAAAACCATCTTATACAAAACACTTAAAAAATATCAAACTTATTGAATCCATTTGTAAAAGTGCAGCATCTGGGTGCTGATTAATCCACAAATCAATTAACAGAAAAAAAGGCAAAACTTTGTAATAGACTAACCAAGCAATGTTTGTTTAATGATTAAGTGATGATCATACAAAAACACATCCAGACTTTTTACACTACAGGTGCCTGGTTCACATTTATAAGCTCTTAATATTATTAATGTCAACATGTTTGCACTTTAATTTTCTTTTTGATTATTTCCAAGACTTTCAAGCAGGCTGCGCTCACTCTCAGGTCATCGATATTCTCCACACATCTTTGCTGACACTTTCGGTGTTGCAAAATCTAAAATCATGCAGCTGCCTCCGACTCTCGCTCCTGTTTGCTTTGCAGACTCAGCAGTATCACAGTTTAAATATCTGCAGTGGTCGAAGCTCTAGGCCCTGCTCTTACCTCACCATGCCCACACTTATCAATGCACTTTTTTTTAAAACTACTTTTTGGGTTTTTAGTGTCTATTACAGTGACTGTTGAAGTTATTGCCACTTAAACAAGTTCTGTATTATTCTGTTTGTCCAAAGTGTTCATAATAAAATTCATTAAAATTCATAGTGGACGCTGCAACCCCTCTCTCAGGATTTCAGAGTGTTGAGCGGCTGCAGCAGCACTTTTGCTGCAGTGTTCGACCAGCTTGCTGCATACCTGTGTGTGGGACAGTGCCTTTGTCCCACCTCAGGGTACGCAGGTTTGTAGGGATGCTTTATTTAGTGAACACTTCTGAGTGTGTGGTGCCAAAAATGACTGATTGTTGAGCTCCCTGTGCTTTTTTGTAAATGATTTGAATTCAGCTAATGTGTGTGTTTTTTGGCAAGAGGGAGAAGTGTTTTAAAATAGGTTATGTGTTGTACTTTTGTTGATTTTTTTTTTTTGTTCCGAGGAAATGTTCTCTAACAATCATCAAATAAACAATTTAAAAAGATGATCCTAAATCACCCCAGCTGTAAGATTATTGATTGAATTTTAAAACATCTTGTATTCCCCAAATAGTGTGCAACTTGTAGTCATTGCAAACAACTCAATATCAAATCATAATAATTATATATTTTAATAATATTAAATCATATATCCACATTATGCTCCATTTTCTACCTTGGATCCGACATATAATCCACCACTGTCTCTGGCTGCTGCTACCGTCATCAACCCTCCTTCCCCTTCTCAATCTGTCTCCATTCTTGTAAGCTCACTCCAGCACTGCAGCGGATCCCCAATCTGCACTGAGCATGCTCACCACAGCTGCAGCCTGTAGATTGAGCAAAGTGGAGAGGAGGTGGAGAAGGAGGAGCAAGGGGAGGAGAGAGAGAAGGGCAGGGAGGGAGTCACACAGGAGCTGCACACAGAGCTGGGATGCTGTTGCAGCTCTGAGAAGAAAGGCTGCATGAGGAGATGTGTCATTTTAAAACACGCAGATGAAGCGTGAAAGAGGGACAGACTGATGTCTGGAGGGTTGGATCACCATCAAAAAGGAGGAGCCGATATGAAATAAGGTAAAGAAGATTATGCATGATGGAATGGGCTGACGGTTGAGAGAAAAAAAAATGTTTAACCTTTGGGGAAGATGAGACCAATATCATCAATATTGTTTGTTGATATTTCTTATTTTTACTTCTTTTATCCACATCAGGGTAGGAAATAGGACTCTATCTCCATGTCTGATGCTGTATGTGGTTATTGAGTTCAGCTGTCATTTACAGGGGTTCTTGGACGGCGTGGAGATGTACGCCTTCTACTCCCTTTTAGTCTACATCTTCTACACTGTCTTCAAAAAGGAGGAGGAGGAGGAGGAGGCCTTGGAGGGGGCGTATGGAGCTTCCTCAGACGTATGTCTAGCCACACAATGTCCAGCCTCGGGGGTTCTCTGTTGGCAAAACCTTTTCTTTTTTTTCCGCTGGGGATATGCGTGCATCACTGAGCCCCTGACAGCGAAATAAAATAGCCTCTCGCACAAATGATGTACAAACTGGTGCTTTCATTGTTCTTTCTGTATGCATTCAGTGTATGGAAAGTTTACATATTTGTCCTGTTTGTTTTTACCTGACCCTTATGCTTCTCTGCTTAGGAGCGAGGAGCTGTTTCCATGGAAACTGGGAGCAGGAGAAGAAATGGCCACACCCCCAAAATGGGAAAAAAGGCCTCTGTTCGGCATGGTGAATCAAGTGAGTGTTCATAATTTTTATTGTCCAACATAAAAGCTCTTTTATTTTTGACAGGAGAAAAATAACAATCAATATAAGAAGACTTTCTAAATGATGGATTAATCAGTGCAAACATTCCTTCTCTCTTTATTGTTGATTTCATTGTTGTCATCCAGGCAGCAGCAGCGACAGTGATGAGATGTCTCTGAGTGATGAAGATGGGGAGGATGGCCCCGACATCCCTGCATGCACTCCTCTGGCTGCCTTTTTGTCCTTTAAGCAGGAGTCTGAGAGGAGGAGGGCCTCACAGGTTCAGCTGGAGACAACAGGAAAGGTAGCAGACCTCATTGCCTTGAGTGAGCTGCTCACCTGACTCACCTGAGCAGTCCCCTAAATAGTATCTGCAGTGTTTCTAAATGTTGTGTGTGTGTGTGTGTGTGTGTGTGTGTGTGTGTGTCTGCGTGTGTCTGTTCTGACCAGCTGTCAGAGTCTCCCCTGGTGGCCGTGATGTCCCACTTGCTGAGTTTTCTGGAGCAGTACTCTCACTTCCAGCAGCTGCAGCAGCAGGTCGACCAGTACCGCGTCCAGCTGAAGAGGCACCGTGTCCAGCACCGCCGGCAGATGAAGGCCCTGCGAGCGTCCTACCGCCAGCGCCTCATGGACAAGAACAGCATCATCAGCAGCCTAGAGGAGGCCATCAACCAGCAGCAAACCCCCAGTCCACTCAGTGAAGGTGAGGGAGAACGGGAAAGAAGAAAAAGGGGAGGAAAGAAGAAAGGAGGGGCTGAAGGGTGAAATTAGGATGCATGAATGATGGGTTTGCATGACCATGTGGTGGCTGAGAGGATGACGAAAAACAGAGAGAAGCAGAGGTGGTGTGACTGTTTTAATAACCCAACTGATAAATGGATGACCTGGTGTGAAAATAGAAGCAGAAAGGCTGCAGGGGACTTTGATTTAAATCATTGTGAGACCTGAGGTTGGATGAGATCATCTAATGGAGGAAGATGGATTGGGAGTACTATAAATTAAAACAGCCAATTTCACATGCTTGTCAAAACTGGTGTCTATCCATAGGTATACACAATACAGATGAAATGTTTTGTGCTCTTAGTCACAGCATGTATAATCTAGTATGTCTCTATTTCGGCATCAAAATCTTCTAAAAAATCTTTCCGACTTCCCAGAAGTCATCAATTCTTCAAACAGTGTCAGTGGAGTTCACTTTTTTTTTTCCTTCTGGCTGGTTCAAACAAAATTAAAACATTTTAAACACATCAGAGGAGCAGACTGATTAGACTTGTGTGTGTGTGTGTGTGTGTGTGTGTGTGTGTGTGTGTGTGTGTGTGTGTGTGTGTGTGTGTGTGTGTGTTGCTTTGGATGTCTGTGTCTGCTATGTTTCAGATGTGACCATATGGCTCTGTGACCTCAGAGCAGGAGGCTAGACCAGACCTACTGACTGCACATCACTTTTCTGTGCACATGTACAGCTTCTTAACAAGTGCATGTATCCTGACGATGGTTCAGACTCTTGTCCTTAGGCGGACTTTTACAGACTCTGAGAAACATTTACTTATATGTATAAAAATCAGACCGTTTTATGTATGACTCCTAGTGTGTAGGCTTGTTTAAGCCGAGGACCTCATGCGCACTGACTCTCATTAGTCACAGGGAGGAGATACACGATTATGAGGCGAGTGTGTTTGGTACTCGGATAGTGACTCTGTGGCTGTCATGAATAAAACATGCCTGAGAGTGCTGTTTTATTCCCCGCAAATGCACTTACAAGACCTGGCACATGTAAGGCGCCACGTGTACTTGTGTTGGACTAAAAATATCCTGGAGTCCTCATCCCAGTGTTCGAAGGCTGTTTAGCATGTTGGTTTACTGTAAGGCAATGTGCAGGGCTAAGTGGAGGAGTGATGCTGTGTCCTTTTGATGTGCAGAATTTCCCCTGCTTGTGCATTTTGGCTGAGTTAGCATATTCATTTGAATGAATGGCTGGTGCTCCATTCAATAGTCTCCTTAAAAAAAAATCTCTTCTTCCTCTTGGTTTGAGGAAATGTATTTTCTTGCATATTCTCTAGCCGCTGTTTTATGTATAACAAAGCTAACTCTTTGCCTCTACTGACCAGATCTTCTCACATTTCTTGCAAGCACGTTTCTGCCAACCTCCCTGATGCACCACTGTAGCGTGTCCTGAATGTTTTTTTATTTTTTGTTGTTCCTGGCACCATCACCTCTCCCTACACACCATTGTGACACAGCAAACCTGACTGACACTGTGTGTTGATAGAATCAGCCTCAGGCCCTGTAATGAAAATCAGAGGTGACAGAGTCCCGATACATCTTTTACGAGAACTATAATAGATTCAAATGCTGTTGGGCATGCTGCTCAGGTTCCTGATAAACAAAAGAAATGGGAACCTTGATTCTGCACATAATGCAGCTTGCACATGAGACGCTGCAGTGATCCCATATTGGTCTGTGAAGTGTCCCTGGAGAATTGAGAGTGGAAACCCAGCATTGATAGTGTTAACTCCAGCGCAATGCACTGTGAATACACGGTGTATAAAAGAACTTTAAATGCATACTTTATGTTCATTAATATTACAGACACGCAATCATTCAAGCATGCTGCAGAGATTAGTCATAACTAAACAGATTTCATATTGAGAACAGGTCAGAAGAAGTTCAAAGGAAAGGACTGAGGTGATTTTACTTGTTTCTGCCATCAGTACTCAAACTAATATGAATGATGGTGGTGATTATGATGATGATGATGATGAAGAGGCGGATTATGTTTTTCTTAACATCTCTCAGGTGAGTCCAGCAGTCATGGAGGGGTGCACAGGCTGGTGGAGTCTCTGTACGGTCTGCAGGGTGAGAGGAGTAAGCTGAGAGGTGAACTGCATCTGCTGCACTCACAGCTGGAACAACAGGACAAAGACAGACACTCACGCATACAAGCCTTTCAACAGCAGGTAAGGAGCCGCCTGTTGAATGTATCTCACGTTCTATATCGAAAATAGAAAATAAGCCAAATCCCATAATACCCCCCAAAAAAGAAATTCTGTCAAAACTGATTTTACAGAATTTCTTTATTACTAGTCTTCAAACATAATTGTAACTTCAGATGTATTTAAACATTTTGCCTAATTGTATATGTATGTAAAGGGCTGATGAGGTACCATAGCAACAACTTAGAGAAACAATTATTGTTCATGCATACTCTCATAAATATAGAATGGCTCTCAGGTCCCATATCACTGTGCATATATGACAACATTTTTAATGTTTTATGTGACTCCATATGATCTACCCTACTCTGCCATTAAGGCGAAAGTCCCTCTAGCAAAAGGGATATTGCAACTCATGATGCTTCTTTAAAAGAAGGGTTTATTAAAAAAAAAGAAAAAAAAAGATATAACTTTAAAAGATGACAGGAAACTAGGTTATTTCCTCAAGTCCAACCTGCATTTGTAACTTTGAAAATGTTTCTGGCACAGATCGATGAGCTCAAGACTTGCATTGAGGAGCGCGAGGAGGAGCTGACCAGACTCAGAACAGCTACCGTAAGTGAACTATCCGCTTAATCATTTGTCAAGTGTTTGACACTTTCCAAGATGTCAGCAAAGCTTTCCTAATGTGTTCCAACACCCTTTCAATGAAATACTTTGCAATTGAAACACCATACAACTCAACATGTCTTTAATGACACCTTCATTATTATTAACTCTATTATGTATTAACAGTAATCTATGAGGGTATATTTGTGAGATAT